ACGGGGTGTTTCTTTGGCTGTATTTCATCATTGTGCTGTGCTCTGTACCCCCCCCTGGTGACCGCTCAGGAGACATACGAGTCCACCAGCACCCAAGTCAACACGCTGAGGAGGATGATCAAGGAGAAGGACGCAGCATCCCAGAGGCATGTCAACATTGAGAGACGGCTGCTGGAGCTGGAGCAGCAGGGCACCATCCGTCTGCACAAGAAGCCTGACGGAGACATTTCGATCGAGCCACTGGGTGTGGGCGGAGCTGGTGTAGGACATGGTGCTGGTTCTGGCCTTGGGATCCCTCTAGGTAACATTGGACAGCTGTCTCTGGGTCCAGCAGCAGAGTTTGCAGGACTGGGAGGAATAGACACCAGTTTACCACCAGCCAGTGAGGCTCCTCCTCCACCTCCACCACCACCACCTCCTCCTCCACCACCTCCCCTGCCTTCGACCACAGGTGACTGATCATGAGTCACTCTGACTGAGACGCTCTGACACATATATGTGAAAGTAACTCTGTGTTGTCAGTGAGTGACAGATCACAGCCTTGTGCTTCTACCACAGACAGGAAAAGGAAACAAAGCTTGTTTCCTGTGTGCGTGTGTTCAGGCAGATAAAATCACACAGCTGCTGTTCTGAAAAATATTTAACATGAAAAATAATATTCAACATCTGGATAAACATGAAAACAAGCTGTGCAAAGTTGTGAGGATAGAAATTAATACAAAATTAAAATCTAAATAAAATGTTTTTACTCTGATGACAGGCCCAAGTCCTCCAGCCCCACCACCTCCTCCTCCTGCCCCACCTCTGCCAGACGCTTCTCCATCAGTTATCCTGAGTGTGGGTCTCTCAGGTGAGGGTCACACTTTTAGGCTTACGCATATTTCCTTTTATTTCTGTCACAGCACATCTAAAATAATCCCATTTATAAAAATCAACAGCCATCAGAATCAAAAAGCCAATAAAGACAAAGTTCCGCCTGCCTGTGTTTAACTGGACGGCGCTGAAGCCCAATCAGATCAACGGGACAGTCTTCAATGAGATTGATGATGAACGCGTGTTGGAGGTAAATCAGTTTTATGCAGAGCTAAAGTAGAACAGAACTTGAACTTGAACAGAAGATGAATGTGAATATGACAAAAGGCCTCTTATTTTTCACAGAAGTGTTTGATTGTTCTCATCAGATTTGATTGATGTTGTTAAGAGGGTACAAAAGTCTAATCTTCACTGTCCTGTATCTGCAGGAGCTTGAACTAGAGAGGTTTGAGGAGCTGTTCAAGACCAGAGCTCAGGGTCCAGTTGTGGATCTCGCCTCCACAAAAAGCAAAGTGTCCCAGAAGGTGGTGAACAAGGTGACGCTTCTGGACCATAATCGATCTAAGAACTTAGCCATCACATTGCGAAAGGCCAACAAGACCACAGATGAGATCTGCAAAGCAATAGAGAAGTAAGCACTTACTGCAAGATTAAAACAATTCTTGGAAAGGTACAACACGGAACAAGATATTGATACAGTGGGTGTTTTGTTTAGGTTTGATCTCAAGGCCTTACCTGTGGACTTTGTGGAGTGCCTGATGCGTTTCCTGCCCACGGACGCAGAGGTCAAGGTGCTGCGTCAGTACGAGCGCGAGCGGCGCCCCCTGGATCAGTTGGCAGAGGAGGATCGTTTTATGCTGTTTTTCAGCAAGATTGAGAGACTAACTCAGAGAATGAACATTATCACCTTTGTTGGCAACTTCGCCGACAACGTCAACATGCTCACGCCGCAGCTCAACGCAGTAATCGCCGCTTCTGGATCAGTCAAATCTTCACCAAAGCTGAAGAGGATACTCGAAGTAAGAAGAGTTGATCGATAGTGTTCCATAAAAGTGACTCTTACATTTTACATTTGGTTAAGGGCTTACATTTTGGTTATCGATAGTGTTCCATAAAAGTGACTCTTGGCTTACATTTTGGTTCATTTTTTTTCTTTATTGTTCTGCAGATCATCTTAGCTCTGGGGAACTACATGAACAGCAGCAAACGAGGTTGTGTTTACGGTTTTAAATTACAAAGTCTTGATCTGGTGAGTAAGAGCTGACCAATATGATCCCAGATTAAATTAAACTACTCTTTAATTCTGTGACAGTAGATGATGTTGATGTTGTTCTTTTTGTTTCTCAGCTGCTGGACACTAAATCTACAGACAGGAAGATGACCCTGCTCAACTACATAGCTCTCATAGTGAAGGAGAAATACCCTGAACTGGCCAACTTCTATAATGAACTGCACTTTGTGGAAAAAGCTGCAGCAGGTGAGTTAAAAAATGGTTTTCTTCAAGTCATCAAGCCTTTACAGATCACGCTTCATCACAGACTTGATTACACAGAAGAGTCTTCAGTTTATATTTATGGAGTGACTTTTGAGCAGGCCAAGCCTGTTGGTAAATATTTGGGTTTTTTTTATAAGACCTCTAATTTTTATTATTGCAAATAAAAGATTAAAATTTTGACAGGCACTCCCATTCTTAGCCACATGTTTAGAAACCCAGATTGTTCTTGGACAGAAATGCTTAAATACATCCTTAGGAATTGGCCTAATGTGTCTCTGTTTGTGTGAAGTGTCTCTGGAAAATGTGCTGCTGGACGTCAAAGAGCTGGGGAAGGGCATGGACCTGATCCGAAGAGAGTGCAGCCTCCATGACCATTCAGTCCTCAAAGGCTTCATCCAGGGCAGTGATGGACAGCTGGACAAGCTGCAGAAGGATGCGAAGGCAGCAGAGGTAACTGACACTGTTCACTTCCACCCAAACCTCAAGGTATCCACTGGAAAATCTGAAAATAGACACAAAGCAAACACATATGAGCCACTGCTGTCTGATACTCACGCACACACATTGACACACATACACATACACTGTTTTTTTGTATTTTTTAGTATTTTAAATACAAATAATATATTACCTAGCACTTAACTTTTATTATGTAAAAAAGTGTAGCTTCTACTGTATATCAGGAACACACACACACACAAAATTACACTAGACTAAACTAGAAATTATATTTTTTTAACACCTTACATATCAAAATGTAAGACCTAGCCCTTTGCCCCAAACAGTGACTATAACAAATATACAGTAAGTATTATTGTAATCCTCACAGGAACAGCTTCACCTGGAACACACACAAACACACACAAAGAAAATCTTAAGCCCTGAATGAACGGTGTTTACAAACTTCACTCCCACTCCACCACTGTCCTTCTTCCCAATTCTAGGAAGCATTCAACAATGTGGTGAACTACTTTGGAGAGAGCGCCAAGACGACTCCACCCTCGGTGTTTTTCCCTGTGTTTGTGCGCTTTATCAAAGCCTACAAGGTGAGGACACTAGCAGAGGTAGCATCGTGTGTCTTCTTAATCTTCTTCTCCTGACACGCCGACCTGCAGCCTTTTAGCTGCAGCTCAGCGTGGAAGGTTCTGGGTTCGTCTTGCAGAGAGAAGCAGGGCAGACCTTTGGCTGCCTCTGTGCCACAGGACGTGGCGCAGAGTGCGAGGCTAAATAACAGGAAAGGCCAGCTGGTTCTGAGTCCAGAGCTGCAGCTGTGGTGTTTAGACTGGCTCTTCCCTCTCCCTCCCTTTTTAACCCTGGACAGCCTCACCCTACCCCACCACACTGCACATTTCCTGAGATTGTTCTCAGCCGGGATTTATGAGATCTGTTCAAGGAAATGTGCAGCAAAAAAATAAAATCTGTGAACATCTAAGTGTTTCTAAATGTCTATTAAATGAAGGTTTGAGTCCATTTTATTTCCATAGTGATTGATAAGACGACCTAAACTCTGCCTCTGCACTTCATTTGAGGCTGTCATTAGCACATGTTTTGCATGTGGAGGAGACGTAGGGAAATAACTGTCTTAACTTGAGAGGTACCACAGTCATTTCCAGGCTCTATGCTAAACTAATTGGTTGCAGCTTGTTGCAAATGATATCTGTCTCTCTGGCTGACTCTCGGCAACAAAGGGCATCACGTCAAAGTATTTAAAAACATTCCACATGTTAATGTGTTTGAAGCAGAGAGATATACATTTGCAATAATTGCCTGTGAAAATCACAGCGTGTTTCTTAAACTTCTGACCTGCGTCTTTGCAGTCAAAGAGCCACGCTGATGTGCTGTCTTGGATATATTGGAGCTGTCATATCTTATCTCCTTTTAACAGGATGCAGTGACAGAAAACGAGCAGAGGAAAAAGCAGGAGGAGGCAATGAGGGAAAAGTTGTTGGCTCAGGAGGCCAAACAGCACGACCCTAAGGTGAGGTCCTGCTGGAGGTTAGAAAGGCCACAGGAAAGATGTTTACTCTGTGCTAAATTCACCTCTTCTGCTCTTCTCTTTAGGTCCAGGTTCAGAAGAAGAGGCAGCAGCAGCAGGAGCTGATTGCGGAGCTACGCAAGCGACAAGCCAAAGACCACCGGCCCGTGTACGAGGGCAAGGACGGCACGATAGAGGACATCATCACAGGTGGGCCAGACAGCAGCAGACACAGATACAGCCCGGGTCGCCCCAGGTCCAGAGCGACTGTTGTCCTCCACTGCTCGGCTGTTCTGAAGTGCACCTTGTGCTACGTGCTGCAGACACATCTGGAGAACAGCACATAGTCAGCAGTTGTTCCATGACTTACTGTCTCCTTGGGTTCACAGATGAACAACAATAAGAGCTTCTGAGCCTCAGTTTATAAATTATTTAATTAAAATTTAGAAAAATATATTTAAATAATTTTTATGTATGAAACTAAGTCAGTGGTTGTATGTAGTGTTTTTCAAAGTACTGTGAAAAGTTTTAATACAGTTATAATTTAAGTAAATACCAATAAATCTATCATGAAGATTTAAAAAAATATATAAAAACAATACATTTACACTGCTCTGCCAAACAGTTGTCCCATGCCCAAATATTTCTCTCCTTCAGTTTCTGAACATTTTTAATTTGACATATTCATAAGAAAAAACAATTCAACAGATTCCTTACACACGTGACAAAAACAAATGTAATTATCTGTCAGCTTTTGTCACAACATCTCAGTTCTCAGGCCATCAAAATTTGCTGGAGCTCTTTTTTTTTCCTCCTTAAACAAGGTCAATAATTTGACCTTTGCAAACACAGATAATATTTTTTATGTCAATGGACTATTACCTAAAAATATGTTTTAAAATGTATCACATCAGTTTTTTCAGACTATTTTCACTGTATAAACTTTTCTCTCCTTTTATTAAAATAGGACATTAGGACACAGCAGCACAAACCTACACCTCCTCTTCACTATATGCTGTATAAATATACTACTATATATACATTACACCTTAACAATAATATGAATCTATTCATCAGTCAGAGAGACTGAAAAAAACAGTTCAGCATTTTAAGCTCTTAGATCTGTTCGGCCAAAAATGAGACTGCTCAGCGTGCCACTAGAGGGAGCCAACGTACCACCAGGGTAATGCCATAGCTTAAGAACAACTGACTAAGTTTTCAATATTTGCTGAACACCACGCATACTATAAATAATATCACAATGTTACTCCGATGAATATGACGTCACCTTTTTGACAGAGCAGTGTTGATGGGTTTCTATGGTGAGGGACCTGTATCTACAGTCTCAGGAGACAATAATGATCAGTACATACTGTGTATGTTCTTTAAAGACTGATTAATTGATGATTTAACAATATTTTAACAGGCGGCATTTTTACATGAGACCCATGTTGATGCAGTATAAACACTGGGAACCACGTGGGTATTGTAACTCATTCAACAAACCCACATGGGTCCCTCCTTTATGTCCCATATGCAGCCCACACATTTTGCCCAGTTCAAATGAATTGAAACTTATCAAATGAATTGGTGTGAGCCCACGTGGTCATGCCGGTTTGGTTAATAATGATAATACTGTCAGAGCAATAACAGCTTATTGTGCTACTGATGCTTTTCTCAATTGTGTTCTAATGATATATACTGTATATAAAAAACACCGAGTTTTTCTAAAAAATCTTTAGATTTATGTTAAGACAAACAGCACCATGCCACTGTCCTCGCTGTGGTCTCCTTAATGGTCTATGAAGACAGCCCAGTGCCCTCTTTTCCTCCCTTAATGACAGTAACTCAGGTGTGACATGTTTTTTCTTCCTCCCCCTTCTCCCCCAGTCCTGAAGAGCGTGCCCTTCACAGCCCGCACTGCTAAACGTGGCTCACGGTTCTTCTGTGAAGCCAACCTCTGCGACGACGCCAACTGCTAGCCCTCCCCTCCCTTAATGCCAAGGTTGTCCAGGTGTCTCTCATACACCTCCTGACCACTGTGCATGCAGCATGACTCCCCCCACCACCACCCTTGTTACCCTTACCTAACGTGGGCCACCATTGGTTGTTTGTGTTCTAATACTAGACAACTCCTATCTGGTGTCTGATGATAGGAGTCAGCCAAACCTCTTAGCCTGCTGCAGAGCTACATGAAAAAACTCTGAGTGTCAACCATAGACTGTATATAAGAAATGGATGAAGCCATATGGGTGCTAACTACAGTAGCAGCGTGATGCCACAGAAGTAAACTGTAACACTTCACACGTCTTAACAACTAAGAATGGTAACGTTAGGAAGATGTACCAAACAGTTCAAGTGAACCCAACAAGACCCACAACACTAGTTACCGACCGTATATTCTTCAGCAAAATGTTTGTTGACAGTATAAGTTACAAAAAACTTTAACAACCACATGTCGATGTCCATTTCTTACATATGCTCTATGATGTCAGCATATTTATTTATTTAAGTAAAAAAAATATGCATTTGCACTTACAGTATAGTCACTCGACTGATTTAAAAATCAAGTCATGCATGAATCTTTGCATTATAACAACTTTAATTTTTTCTTCCATGAAACTGAATACAAGCATAAAGAGGTTTGGCAGATTTCACTGGGTTTATCAAAGAGGCTGTTTCATGAGACTAACGTGTTTAGTGTTGGTGATTTCCTGCTAACGTGTGACTCCTCTGTCCTCACCCACCACTCTTTATTCTACCCTTTCAGCTGAGAAGAAGATTAATGACAGTATTTCACTCTTCTAACAGAGGGTAAGGAAGGTGCCCGGCCAAAGTCCAGCTGCTGTGTGCTGCTGCTTCAGCTAGCGCTTCAGTGGCAATCATAAAAATGCTTTTGCAGCACTGAGATTAGCTTTTTACAGACAATAATAAGGAGAACAGTTTAAATTCAGCACTACTCACAAAGACAGCTGTTTTAACACAGACTGATGTTGAATATTTATTATTCTACAGAAGGAATTTCTAGGTCAGTATTTCTTCAGTTTAAATATATAATTTTATCATCATCATCATCGTCATCCTCACCTTCTCCTGTTCCATGTTGCATGTTGTTCACTGTTACGTCACCTCTCACTTGTCATCAACGTTGTTTGTGTTTTCGTGTTGTCTAACATGTGCTCCACCGTTAACTGGTCAACAGGCTCCTAAGAGAAACACAGTTATAAACAGGGTTATCCCGATACATTAGTAGTACAAGTACTTTCATGTGAGTATTTCACTATTTTAGATTTGGTTTTGCAGCTCAAACCAAAACACAGTGTCGACACCGAGCACTAAAATGTTCACCGCCAATTTAATTTTTTTCTCAAAAAGTGTTTTATTGGATCACTGGATCGCCACATTTTCGAATACACTTAAATAAAGATTTAAAGCATTGGGTCAGATATGGACAGCGTTATAAGTATGGGGCATAACTAACGGATAAATTACATAAAAACCCAAAACCAGTTCACACACAAAAACCTCCTTTAGCTACTGAACGACACTTCACAAACTTTGGAGCCTGTTGATCTTTGTGATACAATTATAATCATAAATGTTCATTTTTCTTCTGCTGCTGCGTTGTGTGTGCTACGAAGTGCCACGAACCACAACTGATTTTCCAAAACCTTGAATTTCACCAGCTGGAAGTCAAGGTTGTGGAAAACTGTCTTTTAATGTTCAGTCTGCTTCATGTTGGGATTTTAAAGCCCAGATGGTTTTAGATTTTAACGGTAGAAATGGTTGTGAATGTTTCGTAACAAGTAGGTTTTTTTAAAACTTTTTTTGAATATACTACAAGAGCCAGTTTATTAGGTACACCAAATTGTAATTAAGCCATTTAAAAAAAAAAAATTTGATCAGACGTCATTCTTGTTTGAGAGTAAATACTCCACATCATACGTTGTACCTAGTAAACTGACAAGTGTGTACAGCAGAGAAAGAAATATAGTAAAAAGTATTTTTGGACATTTTAGATGTTTTTCAAATTCAAAGGACAATTTTGTACAAACCCTTGTAGGTAATATGATGATATATTTTGTTGAACTTTTCTTGAACGTGTTACGTTTTTCATTATCTAACATTTTTATGTTGTTGTTGATTAATTTAAGCTAAAATTGCTAAAGTTGTATTTAAGTTCAAGCTATATTTGAACTAACTTCTAGCTTCTTAATGCTAAGGTTATCTGTTTCTAAAGCTTGGTCAGCTTGAAGCTACCTAGTACATTACTATTGCTTACCTTTTAGATTTTGCCAACTTTTGGTAGTTTTCAGCTAGCATCTTTTTAAATTGAATTGTTTTTTGAGAATGTTTTCTCTCTTTTTGATTTGATAATTAACTATCTCGGGCTTGCCACAGTTTCTTGAAAACCTGATGCTAATTTGCTACACTTTGTAATAGCTATTTTTTATATAATTATATAAGTTTTCATGTCAACAAAAAGAGCCAAATTTGCCAAATTGTTGTAGTGACATCACTAACCAACTATTTGTTTTTCTCTTTCCTATTATTTCTCATCATATTTGTTCAATTTTTTTTAATTTTTACTAGGTCTGCCCTGTTTTACATCGCCTTTAGAATTCCAAGCGCACATTTAAATATTTCCAAAAACATTTTTTTTTCCTTTTGCTAATTTCTGACCCTGCTGTACAATAAGTCAATCTATATAAATACCTGTTTAGCTCAGAAGTATTCAAAGTAATAAAACCAATATAAAGTTTGACCTCTAACATGTGTGTCCCCCTACCCCCTTGTCTCTCACCCCCTTCTCCCTAACTTCTCACAGATCTCCGAAACCAGCCCTTCCTGCGAGCTGATGCGTTGATCCGGAGCGGTTGGAAGAGACCCTAAACCACTTATTCATCACTTAAACCCCCCCTCCCCCCGATATAACCTTCCTCCCTGTGCCCTGATGGTTCATCTCAACCCTGAGGCTGCAGCTTACAAAGACTGAAAAGAGAGGAGAGGACAGAGGCCTTGTCTTAGCTGGGTAATTTATTTATTTATGGAGGCCCCTAAGAGCCACTTTAGGACAGCGGGCATTGTTGTGAAAGCACAGAGGCTCAACCCTCACTCACTACAGGGAGAAGACTTTTCCTGCTCTGGTGGAACTGAGACTTAGATCTGCTGAATCCTGACTACAGGTGAGAGGGGTGTAAGGTGGGGAGGGGTGGTGTCTAAAGCAGGACAGAACAGTGCCTTCATTCACTAGTGCTTGCCAACATTATTCTCAAGGAAGATTTTTTTTTTTCCGCAGAATGTGTCATTGTTGTAGACTAGAACTGAGATGCAGCACGACGTCCTAACAATCCTTAATGTCACACGTTTGTGGGCTGTTTAATTTATACAAAGCCAAGTCGATACTTTCATGTAGGGTTCAAACAAAGACAATGGTGTATTTTGAATTCAATCAAATGTGTCTCAGAGGAATGGGTTTCCTTTGTGTGGAGCTAGCCAAACCAAACCTCCTTGAATGTCTTATGTTTTCACTCACAAAGTGCCTTTTTTCTGTGTTAACAGTGTTATGTCTATGGACTATTGATAAGAACGGACACCTTAGAAAGACCGCAAGTGCTCCGCTGGTTCAGGAAGTACGAGGCTATGTCATGAGGACAGATGTTGGCATTTCAGGTTTATATTTGTCATCAGTTATCATTTATTTGATTTAAACCTTAATATACAAAGAAATGAAATCAGAGCAAACTAATTGTTAACCAAACTTAAGTAAAAACTTGTTACAGGAATGGACAAGTGATATTGCGCGATGCTGTTCTTTAGTAAAAATTGAAAAGAAGAGACATAGAAGCAGAATTTTCTGATGGTAATGGAGAATATAAAAAGAAAGAACTTATTATATTACTTATATTTTCAAAGCAAATATTTATTGAATTGTTTTTTTAACTTTCTGACGTATTGTCATAACACAGTTTATAGAAATGGGCAATACTTCCTATTTAATTTAGATATTTCTTTTGTTTATTTTTTCCTCAATCCTACAGTTTTAATCACTAAATCTTGAGCTTAGTCAATATAATATGTCAATTCTATTCATTTTCAGTTATTTACAATTTACTGGACAGTGAAATGTAAGATGGAAAGCAAATAGAAATGGGCACACATTTGATTTCCTTTTGCTGTTACTGGTTTGTCCAGTAGGAGGCGGGCTTTCGAGACATAAGGTTCGCATTGGAGGTAAATGTCACTGATAGCGTGATAATGATCAATGATCAGTGACTGTAATGCAGGGGTCTCTAAGTCATGACTAGATGTCAATAATAATTAACGTTTAAAGGTAATTTTTTAAAATGTCATTTTTCCTTATATAATACTGCTTTAGTTGGCCATTAAGGTTGTTTACACTGTAGTATTGTGTATGTATTATTTGACCCCTGTTCTAATTGGACAAGTTAACTGTCAATCTTCTGACAGCTGAAATCATGTTTCCTAAAATAATGTTGAACCCAACATTAAAGAGCCTCTGATGATCAGGAGGTTTTTCACTGATATTCAAAATCTGTATACTTCTATACAAACTGCGTTACTTCCTTAACCAGCCAACCACTTCGGTTGTTTCCTTTGCTTCCCTCTGAGCTGATTGGTCTGTTTCTTATACACAGTTTACCTTAGTTTTTCACAGGTCAGCCGTGTTGACCTTCTGCAACACTGTTCATTTGTCAAAGATTGTATCTTTATTTCTGTGTACTTTAAAAAATAGCCTTATTTAGTTACTGAGAATGATATGCAAATGTTCTGAGATCTGGAGGCACATCACAAAGAGAAGGTAGATGGCGATGTTACGACTGTTCTGACCTGTATGGTTTTTGTGTTTCTGTGCCATGACCAACACAACTGAATTGTATTTGTAAGAAATCATGAAACTGAATGTTTTGCGTCTTGACAACACTTTTGGTCACAGCTAATGTGACATTATGCAAAGTGACAAAAAAGTAGAAGAAGAAGAGAGAAGTAAAAGAAGGCTTCATGTGGACTGCTGTTAATGGTCTTAGATGGTGACCTGCCACAGATGTGGTGATGGATGAAGGACATTTCAATATTGTTTTTTAAACTCAGATGAGACGATGACTTTTCTCCTAACAGCATGTGTTTTTTGTTTTCTTTAATATAACAATGGCACAAAGAAAGACGTCGTCACACTACTTAATTTGGCTCATGTTGAATAAAACACTATCCTTTAAGTGGACTTTTACATGTATGTATATTGAAATTAAAAATCGAATTTAGAATAAATCATCTGTATTATAGTCCAGTGACTGAATCATTTTAACAAAAAACAATTTCTAAAGAATTCTCAAAAGGCTCTAATTTGGTGAGAAACATGCAGAACAGATACAATTTTGAATTTTTTTTTCAAAACTTTTCATGAAAATTTTTAAACATCCGACCAACATGACATGCAAAATTAAGATTTTGCCAAAAACTTTTAAAAAGTTTTAGAAATTTTGTTTTTCAATTTTTCAGTTAAATCTTAAATTTTCCTGCCATGTTGTTCAGATGTTGAAAATTCAAAAAAGAAATTGAATATTTTATCCTTTTTATCTTCTATCTTTTTTTTATATAAAGTTTTTTATATAGTTATAGTTATATAGTGTTTTGAAAAAAACTTTAGAAAGCACTTTTTCTATTTTTTTGGAATATTTCTGCAAAACCCAAATTTTTGGTAAGATGTTTAGAATTTTTGAAAGTAAAATTTTACCTTTTCTGCATAGTTCTCATCAAAATGTAGTGTTTTAAAGTTTTAGAATACATTTTTTTTAATTTATTTAAATTTAATTTTTTGGAAAAAATCTTTAGAAAAAATTTTAAAAAAACATTTTTAGAAAAAACATTTTTGGGAATGTTTTGGCAAAACCATAATGTTTGGTCAGATGTTTTCAAAATTCTATCTTTTCTGCATGTTTTTTTGTAATGTTTTAGCAAAACCCTAATTTTTGAGGGAAGAAAAAACAGTTGTAAAATTGTATCTTTTCTGCATATTTCTGATCAAAATATAGTGTCTAAATATAATTTTTTTAAAAGAAAACATTTTTTGGACATTTTTTAGAAAAAACACCTTCTTAAATGTTTTTGGCAATTTTTCGGCAAAACTAATTTTTGGTCAAATGTTCAAAAAGTTTGATGTAAATCTTTTAAAAAAAAGAATTTAAAATTGTATTATTCCTGCACATTTCTTATTGAAATATAGTCTTTGAAAATTAGAAAAAAATATTATTCAAAATAAGGTTTTTTCTCTTCTTTTACTTAAAATTATTTGTTTGAAAAAAATTTTTTTTTTAAAACTCATTTTAGAATTTTTTTTTTTGGGAATTTCTTGGCAAAACCCTCATTTTTGGTCAGATATTGAAAGATTTTGATGACTTTTTATTTTTATGGA